GTTCTAAACGAATATTTTTTGTTGTTAAGCTCACAAAACATATCACTTAAATTTTTAGATAACCCATTTACTTCCTTTCCTTTAGGATTACAACATACTTAAATTTCCTGTTGTAATAGGGGCCTGCCATGCCAAAGAAAGAGAGATCTCATCTCTGGAATTGATCGGTGACGTAGTGTTGTATGCCTTGCATAATTCTATCTGCTCCAATCATTTGAGATGGTCTAAATGTGCGGTGGTGGTGATTAATTTAGCATTTGAAAAGTCCGCAGTTATTTCTGGATCAGACGCGTAAGTTGATAAGGAAGTGGTACATTTATTTTGCTGGATGTCATGCATGTGTTCTTTCAATCTGATCCCAACAGTTCGTTTTTTTGAGCCTATGTAAATTAAGTCCTTCCCAAAACGATGGTCCCTAAGTGGCACTTTATATACCCCCAGCACTCTTCGAACATCACCCAATTCGTAGATCAAATGAACGACAATCCATATGGTCTTACCCTGGAGATCGAACAGCACAGCGACTCATCCGTGCATTTTCTGGATTTGAATATTGACTTCGGTGGACTTATCATACACACCTCTGTGTACCGGAAACCATCAGACAATCCAACTTATATCCCGGCAGACTCATGTGACCCGGTCCAATACAAGATGGCAGCGTTCAGGGCTCTAGTTAAAAGGGCTCACTCACACTCTTCTACTCAAGAGGCCTTAGAACAGGAATTACAATACCTATATAAAGTGGCCAAACAGCATGGATACCATAACATCATACAAAAAATGTCGCAACGATTAGGAGAAACGATGTCTCCTTCTGTAAGAATTAATTCAATAGATGCTAACCAAAAGGAGGATAAACCAAGGGTGTCAGTTACTTACAACCCACTGTTGAAATCACTACATAATAGAATCGCACGGCAAAAGGGTATCTCCCTAACCTTCAGAAGATGCCCAACCATATTTGGTATTCTACGTAATGGAAAAGACAAATCTAAGGAAGAAAGAATGCCGGGGGTATATAAAGTGCCACTTAGGGACCATCGTTTTGGGAAGGACTTAATTTACATAGGCTCAACAAAACGAGCTGTTGGGATCAGATTGAAAGAACATATGCGTGACATCCAGCAAAATAAATGTACCACTTCCTTATCAACTTACGCGTCTGATCCAGAAATAACTGCGGACTTTTCAAATGCTAAATTAATCACCACCACCGCACATTTAGACCATCTCAAATGATTGGAGCAGATAGAATTATGCAAGGCATACAACACTACGTCACCGATCAATTCCAGAGATGAGATCTCTCTTTCTTTGGCATGGCAGGCCCCTATTACAACAGGAAATTTAAGTATGTTGTAATCCTAAAGGAAAGGAAGTAAATGGGTTATCTAAAAATTTAAGTGATATGTTTTGTGAGCTTAACAACAAAGTTATTCATAAAATCTTTAAAAACGATGGAAAATATTTAAATATCTGTGAATATGACATAGAAGATATGACGTTCACAGATATAGATCACGTGATTCCGTTCTATCTTTTCGGTTTTAAAAATCGTTCTAAACGAATATTTTTCGTACTTCGTAAATCTTCAAACGATTTTTACCTGAAGATGGACCCGGGAGGGGTCTGAAAACGTTTGTACTATTAAATTTTTTACTTCGCATCGGTTAAAGGTTTTTTATAAGGTACGTGATATTTATTTTTATTTTTAATTAACTGGCTACATAGTATTAATAAATATTAAATTAAACATTAATACTATAATATATAATATTGAATTAATAAACATTTATTATTTAATTTCAGTTGAACACCTTTGAGTTAAACACAGATTTGTTGATGTCATTTATATTACACGAATGTCAATTAATGTGGTTTTTATTAGTTAATTTGATTTAAATTCAATTACGATGCATACCAATAAATCGTAGTAGTATCTTACCCACATGCACTTTGAAATCTAATTTGTGTTGTGATGTGTAATGATGCCAGGTGATCTTGGCACCACTAACTTCTGAATCAATAGTCTCATCAAATCGATGGCCTGATCAATAGTCAATCATTGATCAGACCATCGATTTTCTTTAACACAGGAAGTATATGAAGTTGACCATCTGTGTCTGTCTAATCTGTGGCTAGCTCTTGCCAAGTAGCTTGTTTGGCAACCAAGACAAATGTGGCATTCAAAATTTTGTTTGTAAACTGAATTGTTTGATAAGTGAGGCATTCAAAACCCAAGGTTTGACTGTATTAAGCTGAATTATATATTGATTTGTTTGTGTGTTTGTGTCCATTTTTGGGCAAAAATATTTTAAACTGTAGTGATAGATTTGGTGTCATTGAAAGATTTGTCTTTAGAAGAGTTTCTCTTCTGAGACTATAATTTTATAATTCATTCTCAATCAAATAATTATGAATAATTAACATTATAGTACATAAAGCAAATACTCAATTATTGTGTATTTGCTTTATACAGTCGCAAAATAAAACAAATTTTGGAGTTACCATCAAAAATAAACTGGCATAAGTACAGGGTGGAGCACATAAAACTAGCTCAAACACAAAATATAAGATTTTATTTGGTAACTATATACTGTACATTTGATTTACATTTAGTATAGTAAATAAATGGCATAAAGAAGCTTTAATTTTAATACTTTACATGTTTAGTAGCATTTTTATCTTTTCAAAATTTGTGCTTGAAGTAATTGCCATCTTTCAACATCAACTTTGAATTAACAAACTTACTTCTACAGTATAATAATTATTTTATTATCGTACTTTGTTTTAAAACCAATTAAGAGTATGAATTCAAAAATTTTGACAATGCTTTAAATATTTATCTTGTAGCCGAGAGCAAATAACAGAGTCTGAAGAATCACTTGGCATTGATAAATTAAAAGTTTAATAATTACATTTAATAGCAATAGTTTCCAAAGAAACAACTTACGAACTAGGGAAATACAAAAATACTCAGGACCAACCTTGACAATACTACTGATTGAGTCCCACATGCCGACAAAGGACAATCTAATTTATGTCTAGCTTAACTATATTTTAACTAATTTTACAAAATAAAGAGCCCTGGATCAAGATGGGGTTGAGATAAGAATTAGAAGATTTTGATTTAGACAGAAAAATAAAAGGGTCAAAAGAGGATAACTGGCAAAAATAAATCTTGAGTCCATTATTCCAGAGAGGTCTTCTCTATGTTACTTGCTGAAATATAGGTCCTCTCCTTCCCAGCTCCTCTCTCCAAAAAGTGACGATTTTCTTCTGCTTTCCTCTCTCTATCTTCTTGTGCCAGTCCCCTTTGACCAATCCAGTGTCACCCCCTTTTCCCTAGAGATCCATCAGACCATTGGGTAAACCAATGGTCTGATGGATCTCTAGTGGCTTGATGATAATGATCTAAGTGGACATTCTCTTGACATACCCTATTAAAATGCAATCAAAAACGCAAAAAACTGCATCTAAAATAGTGTAAATAGAAGCAGAGTTCTTTACGGTAAGCCTTAATCCTGTCCATCTCCCCCCAGTGCAAGAAATTTTGACATGTATATTATATAAAAACACATGCATACTCGAATGCAGCGTTGTGTCAAAATTTCAAAGGAATCGGTAGGAACAAACGAACATTACATTTTTATCTATATAGATAGATAGAAGATGATCTGCTTTAGTTCATCCTCACAGAAAAGCAAACTTAGATCGTTGTACTCGTAGTGCCATCTGTTGGACATAAAAGCCTTAACCCTAGATAATATCTTTTAATTTATATGAATGTTTAACGGAATAATATACAGCTATGTCCACCCTGAAGTTCCATTCTAAATATTGGTGAAAGAATTTTTGAAATCGGATGAGTAGTTTCGGAGATTACCCCTACATACAAACTTACAAACATTACCTCTTTATAATATTAGTATAGATTACATTACAACATTGAAGCGATGTTGTAATGTAATCATTTATACTTCTCAGAATTAGTAAATATTAAAATTAGTTTTGTTTCATTGATTCTATAATGTAAAGCAGAGTTAATACAAAATTTACCTTGAAGAAAGCCACAAAACATTAGAAATGTCACATGATATATTATGCACACTCTTCAATGCCCAGCAAACAAACTAAAAATCATGTTTTAAAAAATAACATATGTTAAATTGTTAATAAATGTAATTTTTTTAACTACAGATATAACATTTAATAAAGAAACTAATACAATACAAATAATTATATTAAATATTATTTAATACTGTTTCAAAATTAATTACTTTAATTGACAAATTCATATCAAATTAACAAAAACAGTTCAGAAAAATCATGTAATTCTAATTATCATTTGATTTAAGTTACAGTCATTGACAAAAAAAAGTTATACACTAAGAAGGAGGCATTGGAATCAAATGAAACTTTATTAGAGCAAATATAATAATGATTGTAATAAATGATTACAATATCATAGCAAAGGGAGAATTTTCTGTGCAACAATAATATAAATAAAAATGCCTTGTAGGATCTCTTTTTGCCTAGACACACGGAGCAATATGGTTGCACATGAAGGCATACAGGTACTGTATGCTAACTTGTGACAGATTTCTCCACAGATGATGTACAGTACTTACCACTACAACTCTTTTATACTCTTAGATCAGGGGTCACTAAATTATGGCCCACAGACTAGATCCTACCCGTTGCCACACTGTACCACAAATGAGCTAAAACATAATTATTTATATGGAAACATCATAGATTGTAGATGAACTTATTATGTAGAAAAAATTAAAATAAATGTAAGTAAAAATACCAGAATTGGTCCAATCTGATATTTGCATTTGACAGTAACATATTTAGAAAAATCAGTGAAATGAAAACTTTGGTTACTTTTTGTGACTGAATATCAGAGTGCTTTTTGTGTACATACCTGCAATGAAGTTTCTAAGAAAAGCAATTATGAGCTTGCTGCAGCAATCATGTTTGAGTATTGGTAAATAAATATGTTGGTTTTCTTTATTTTTTGCGTATTCAGTATACTGTATTGAGCGAAATGGTTATGCGGCCTGTGCTTGTCATTCTCTCAGTTATCTGGCCCGCTGTGAAAAAAGTTTGGTGACCCGTCTTAGATGGCCAAAACTGGAATCCCATCTACTCCCACAAATGCTTAATGGGTGACAAATTTGGAAACTGAGCAAGCCAAGGAATGTGGCAATGTGTCAGACATTCCTAGGAATGTTTTCTGCTGTGTGTGGCCAAACATTACCTTACTGGAAAATGTCAGGTGTCGACTGAGAGGTCTGAATGAGGGGTGTCAATTTAAAATAAAGTGCTCCTTTTCAGACGCGAATGGAAAGGATTAGGTGTCTTGATTGAACAATGCAATTGTTTTTTTTTTGTAAATTCCTTAAACAATGGAAAGGAATAAAGTCGAGAAAACTCGACGAGAGAGAGAGGAATCATATTCAGTCGCGACGCTGACCTTTCCCGTGCCCTCCATCGGGTTTCAAATTGCCACCAGGTGACAAGGAGAGACCAATGGAGAGGCGACTGTGAGGTTAAGAATGGAGAGGTTAAGAAATCTATAAAACAGTGCGATTCAAGTTACAAAGGTTCTTGGTTCATAGTCTTATCCTCCTGGACGTGTGTGTCCCCGCCAAATCTTGGAAAAGAACGTTTCGGATCTAGTGGAAGCAACCTCATCTGTAGTGTCACCTGATGACCTCCAGGCTCATCAGTCGTCCAAGAAAAACCATCTGAAGCAGTGTCATTCGCCCTGGGGCCGACGATTATTTCATCATCTTCACCGAACCGTAAGAAACAGAAACATGAACTTTTCAAACTCTACTTGAACTTTATCCTTGCACTTTGTGGTGTGATAATCAGTCAATCAAGAAAATATTGTAAGACATTTTAATGTTATTAAACGGTTTTATATGGTAAACCTGTCTCAGTAAGTCATTCTGCACCCACATGACAGTATTGACCGCTCGGCTGTCGAAATCTCCTCACCCCAATCGGCTAACCTCACAAAAATATGTTGCCTAATATAAAAGGCAACACAGGATTTCCTGAATATATTGCTTTGTTATCAATGCCCTTCGTACAATGTATGGCTGGCTGTCATACATAATGGCTCTCCAGATCAGCATACTAGTAGTAGGCATAGTGTGCTGCTCAACTGTAAAGGCAAGATTGAAGCACTCACCAGCAGTCCTCCATACTAACACATCCATTTCTGAACAGAACCAGGATTCATCACTAAAGACAATACACTGCCAGTCTGTAACAGTCCAGTCTCTGTCATAAATCAATCAATGTTAGAGTGTTAATGGCAGGACATGGTGATTGCTATGCATGCATTTTGTCTGCTACAGGATAAATGGTACTGCAAGTAAAAAAGTGGGATATATCCACATGGAATGTAGCCAAGACTGGGTATAAAAACACTGACAATTAGTGCATGCCATTTTTATCAGTTATAGCTATGATGGCCATTACTTTGCCAGAGCATGCCTTAATTGTGAAAGTCAGGGTAATGCTGTGGCTACTGTTTGCAAATATAACCATTGTAAGAACTTATGCTTCAGACCAGTCTCCGTAGGCTGTCAGGATAATGGTAGCATGATTTGAGACAACTGGATCTTTAGAAGTTCAACCTGGCAAGGGGCGAGTCTTCAAATTTCACACCTAAACAATGTGTTCCCTATTCTCTAGGTGTAAAATATTCCCTGCATCACTAAGCAATCTGTACAGCATGTAATAGTATGGCTCCAAATGAATGAATAAATGCTTCTTCATTATGTTTCTGTTGTTTTATTTTGTGCCATTACCCCGTAGCAGATAATTTTGAAACAAATTATTTTTTGCAAAATCCTTTTTCATATGCTTTGAATAATGTCTACATAAAGTTTGGTGTCAATCAGCTTATTGGTTGAAACTAGAGAGCCCTCTAAATAGGAAAACTTTAATTATGATTACCAGGTTATGATAAATTGAATCAAGTTTAATTACTACTTCAATCATAACTTCTTAATATTATGACTATCATTCATGTTTATCAAAATATGGCATGCATTGTGGAATGGAAGCAGCATCTTCAATTGTTTATGAATGGTTGTATGTCACAATCTTACTAAGAATATGACATCGTGAATTGACAATGTACTGGTACCTTTGGTAAAGCTTAGTTCAGTTAATGTTAATTGGATAATGTTATCATCATGAGTAATAGATCATGATGATAATACAAGAACAAAATATCAGCATGGTAAAGCTAGTACAACAGACACTACATCAGGAGTGGCCAACAGTTTTTGCCCCCAGGCCAAATTGGAAAGAAAACTTTCTCCACGGGCTGAACCAGAGGCTGCCCTAGGAAGATTTTGAGGTAGTGCAAGATCTCATTGTGGTGTCACCCCATAGAGATTAAATTGTAGATAGAGATTACAGATACATTTTTCACATTATCGTGCCTTATCAACATTCTACACTGTACTTACAAGATTTGTAATGAAGGGTTAACTCTAAACGCACAGTGATTTGTTGACCTTTTTTTTTTTTTTTTTTGTGTGTCGGAAATTTTCATCGAGCTATTCGGACTTGAGTAGCTAATATTGAAAGAAAGATTGATTGCGGGCCACATAAATTCATTAGACAGGCCGGATCTGGCCTGCGGACCGTATGTTGGCTATGTCTGCACTACACTTTAATATATTTTCAGAGAATAAATTTCAGTTATGACTAATCTGTTTATTATTACATTATTATTAATTTTTGTTAATTTTTCATCTCCCAATTAATTATAAATATATAAATATACCTGAATAAATATTTTCACCATTTTATTTCCATCAGAATTAGGATTATATTTTTGTTTAAATTCCAAATCAAAATAAATTTTGCAAGGTGTCCCTATAAATATATCAATAAATAAATATAATTTTAAATTATTTAGAATGTAAAATTTCATTTATGATTTCCTTTTAAAAAGTTATAAAACTCACAATTTTTTCTTACCTTCACGAATCAATTCATGGGAATTTCGTTTAACTATTGGTTTACTCCTTTATGAAAATATAAATAACATGTAAATGTATAATATCTATTAATATTTCTATAATTAATGTATAATGTTAAATAATAAAGTAATGTTTTAGTGCATTACTTTATTTTTACAATAAAAGTTTTTACAATACATATAATGTCTTTTTTATGTTCAAGTAATTAGCTTTCTAGGTGTGGTTTCTGTATAAATGGTAAACTCATTAGTGAAACAATTAAGGAAATATTGGAAATATTGTATATACTAGATTTTTCCAATAAAATAAAACTATTCTTATCATTTACAGTAGAGTGTCGTTTATCCGAAAGAATTCCAGTTGGCAAATTTAAATTTTTGCTAGTGCTGTGGCGCTGCAATCTTTGGCTATGTCTTAGGCTACTCAAATATTTTACGTTTTTGATACTAAATTAACTTCTGAAATATTAATTTTTTATTGTTTTTATATTTTTCAATATATTTATTTTGTTTGTGCAAAATAAAGAAATAATTTTTAATGATACAATAGCCACGATTATTATTTAAAAAAGTTTACGTTAGGCTTAACATCAACGAAAATTCAACACAAAGCAACACGCAACGGAGAAAAATTTCAGGATGGGATAGGTTAATATATTTTTTCGTACATAATCGGTTATTCGAAAAATAAGTTATCCGAACAACCCCAGTCCCCAATTGATTCGGATAAATGACACTCTATTAGCCTTCTTAAACACAATTGAGGATAAAGAACAAAATATATCTATTCTTACAAAATATTTTTACTAATTTTAGAAATCATGACCCAAGTAGGAAATGGAGATGATACAAGAATATGCTAAAACTGGTTTTTATATATGCTAAATATAGGATAAACAAAGTACTTCATTCTTTAATTTAGAAGATTAAACTTGTTAACCATATATGTTGCATTTACACTGCTGATAATAAAATTCCATCTTTCCAATGGCTCCTTTAATTATTAGATTTCCTCTCTTGTACAGTACCTATTGTATGTTGATACTCCTGAGAGCATGGAATAAACAAAGGATAAATTCTTAGTGTTTAAAAGTTATACTCCATCAGCACATCCATGAAGTTTCGCTAGAAGAAAAAATGTGATAGAGCAATTATCTGTTTCTAGATCTTATAATCAGAAGATTAGCCAGTGGAATGTATTATAAGTTTATCAGTTAGAGATAAATGCAAGTAAGAAAGGAATAACCTTTAATCATTCCTCAAAATTTCTTTCAACCTCATTCCTGCAAAAGTGCAACCTTTTCAGTGCTAATTTGTAGAGTTTACTAATTTACTAATTCCTTTTACTGTTGGAAAAATATAGATAAAATTGAACTACTTTTATGAAATCTTATGGGTAAATTGATTTTATTAGTTTAGAATTTACCAATATTTTGTCTTGTTTGTTTATGATATAACTTAAAATATAACTTTTATTTATTTTAAATTTTGAAATTGTTATTCCAAATGTACTGTACATATTGAAATTCTAATATCCTTTGTAATTAATGTTCTAATGTTCTTATTTCCTGAAATTAAATTATTATTATTATCAAAAGTATTTGTACTTAAGTTTTAACACCATAAAAACACTTTATTAAAGTGTTTTTATTGTGTTAAAACTTTAACATAACAAAATATTTTATTAAAGTTAAACACTTTAATAAAATATTTTGTTGTATGTCAAGATTATTCTATTCAAAAATGTTCTTAATATATTATAAATTATCAAAGATGTATCAGTTATTAGAATGTTATTATGTCAATTCATGTAACATGCAATATACTGTATGTATTATTACATTTGCTCATATTGTGAGATTGGGGATGGAACAAATCAAAAGAAAAAAAAAAAATGTTAATTTCTATGATGAGCTGAAAAAAACAAACAAGTGAACAGAATAAACTGGACACTTGTGGGAGTTGATCCACTGCTCTCGAGTGAGGACAAGACAAAGACAACGAACCAAAGTAATAGAACAATAATTTAATTTACCGACAATCTTATCCTGAAGGGCATACAATGCATCAAGATTTTCTCTTGTAGTACAATTAGGAACCTGACAATAATCTTAATAGTCCTTATTGGTTTTGGTTAGAGATTTACAGAGATCCAAGACAGAGTTTGAATTTGAATCCTCAAATTCCTCCTCTTCTTTCCTTACAGACTTGAAATATTATTTGGAGATCTTTGTTCCACCATTAAATTACTCCCTTGTCCCTTCATTTTACAATCCACTCTGATCGTTTTCCACTTCCTCTTGCTCAGCTACTTGGGTAACAGTTTTTATGCTCACCTACCACACTTCACACACACTACTTCCTTGAAGAACTACTTTCCCATCAACCCCTTTTATTCCCTTTTCCCTGGGGGCTTAACAACTGTGCCAGAGGAAACACATTAGACATAAGACACAATATAACAAGTACTGCTTTAGAAAACAATCTACATAGAAATTTCATTAACAAAATTTTGAACTATTTTTAATATTTTTTAAATGGCTTTATTTTTTCTTTTTCAAATATGTTGTAAATACCAGCTTCTCTACTTAAAATATATAATATGAAAAATATATAATCACAGTATCACTGTTATATTTGTATGTACTATGAAAAAAGTATTGTAATGAAGATGAAGATACAGTATACATAAATGTTATGAATGTAATTTTTAGTTTTCTTATTTTTAAATAAAATATAACCTATTTTAATTTAATTTGCCAAATTTTTAATTGAAAAACAATTAATTATAAATTCATTTTTGAAATAAATTCTCAAATATCTGGCAACTTGTAATTACTATATTTCAATTTAACATATAATTTTTAATACATACATACTGTATATATAAATCACCTGTTACGCAAATTATGGAATCAATTATTAAATAGGATTTTTTAATTGAAAGTGTTTTTGAGAGAACTTCTATATTTTTATTTCTAATGTTCTAATTTTAGTGATAGAGGCTGCTAAAAGTAATTTTTTTTAAGAGAATAAAAACTAGTTTTACTCACTTATGTATTTTCCACATAGTAAAAGGATCGGTTACCAAATATTCACGTTTTCCATCTTTATTAAGTTCATTTGTGAAAACCAAAAATTTCTTTTAAAAAACAAAAACAATCATTATATTCAATACTAAACTTTAAATTCTATCATTCATATTAAATTTAATTCTTATTACTCAAATTTACTAATTTACAAATTATAGCTATTACTATTTACAGTGATAATTTATTATTATTATTATTATTATTAAATTTAATAATAATAATAGTAATAAAACACTCACAAATGACATGCAGAAAATGTAACATCATGCCAGAAACTATACAAACACATCACTTCTAGTTTCAAGCTCTTGGCACAGACAGATTATTTACCATCTGTCTGTGCCATTGTCTGTGCCATTGTGTTTGTCAATGAGTGTGATGTAAACATCACACTCATTGACAAACACAATCAAATCACATACATTATAGACATATCCATTCCAAACACTCAGAATACACAAAAAAAAAAAAAAATTGCAAGTACATACTGTAATGTGTATTGTATTGGAGATGTTGAAATGTATAATATTAGTGAGTCCGCCAGGTGGCGATCGTTGCTGATGCATCACGGGAACGGTACCTGAGCGCTCACTTTGGTTGTAACTTGGAGACAATAAACATATCATGGCACAGTCGACAAACGTTTAGAGAAAGACGAAAGATTCTCCCGTACTGGATTCGACATGTCCACGTTTCAAAATCTTCCTCGATGTTGGTAGAAGGTGACTTAGGAGCAAATTGGAAGAAATTTAAGAAAAGTTATCTACTTTATTCAACGGCGACCAAATTCACGACGAAGAACAATGAAACTCAAGCCGCCATCTTGCTCCATTGTTTGGGGGGAAGAAACTCTAGAAATTTTTGAAACACTAGAACTTAGTGATGAAAAAGCGAAACAACCGAATGTAATTCTAGAAAAACTTGAGTTGTATTTTATTCTGAAAAGCAACCAAAGTGTTGAAAGTCACAAGTTCAACACTTGTGTGCAAGAACCAAGCGAAGCCTTTGACGATTTTTTAGCAGACTTGCGTAAGCTATCGATAAATTGTGAATTTAGGAATTTACAGGATCGACTATTGAGTGATAGAATTGTGAGTGGTATTCGTGATCAGAAGGTAAAGGAACGTCTACTGCGAGAAACAGAGCTATCATTAACAAAGGCAATCAACATATGCAGAGCCGCCGAACAGACAGAAAGCCACATTAAACTCTTGTCAAATCAACCAAAGAATATAGAAGTCAATGTGATAAAAGGAAAATCAAGAGAATGTTTCAATGAATCACATGATCAGGAAAATAGGTCTAGTGCAGAAACAAAGAACCATCGAACACAGAACAATCGGCGTGGATATCAAAGACCGGAAAATAAGTTCCAAGGAAGACAATGGAATTGCGAGAGATGTGGTTATCTATACTAATATTATAAAGAGATAATGTTTGTATGTACATACGTATGTATGTATGTATGTATGTATGTATGTATGTATCAGTGGCGTGCCGTCATTAGAAGCGTTGGAAGCGCCGCTTCCCTCATATTCTCTAAAAAATAAATAAATATTAATTTTAATTATATGAAAATAATCGCACAATATTTTATTATAACCGCATTATGTATCTTATTTCAAATTTCTATATTACACGTGGAAAAAAAAATTGCTATTGTATATTAGAATATTAGTGGCGGAGTGGAATCTCCTGTATTTTCAGATTACGAAAAGCCAGATTTGCGCATGCGCTTTACAGAGCACCAACCTCACCCGGTTTAGCTGGTGGAAGCCTACGACCTTGGGTGAAAGCTGCACACATATAAAGATTCCAATTCTATCAAGGACCGGTTCTGGGCTGTTAGCCGCCTGCCCACTATATATTTTGATTACGTGAATAACAAGTAGATTTATAACTTAACCCAACCGATAAGAATTTACTATGTTTTTACGATAGTTCTGAATAGTTGACAGGAGTTAAAAAAAAATCCATTAAAATATTTGATATATTTATTTCGCTTTCCGATTTTATATTACTCACGGATTTCAATGTTAAACCAGTGATATTACGATTTCGTATGTCCCATCTTTAAGGGGATGTAGAAAAAAAACGTGTACAATTCTTGTATAATGTTAAAAAATTAACTCTTACTTTGGTAGCATTATTTACAACTAAATTTAATGAATGAGAGAGATGCACGAGGTACAGAAAAAGCTCTAGAATTTATTTTCCTTAAATTTACGATTTATGTATCCGTTTGTCATAAAAATTTGTCTTTCCACTTTTTCCCGAGACTACAAATATTAGAGTACAAAGTAACTGGTTTCAACTTATTTCTACTTAAGAAGTAGTTAAATAATTAAGCGATTAGGGAATTGGGGACGTAAACAAAACCCTGACGAAAGAGCCGGAATATTACTTAAAAGAAAGCTTAACCGAACCAATCTATAGCCGAGTACAGTGGGGACTGATTTCTTCGAAATACTGTACTGTATTAGATGAAATAAATAAAGACAGAAATTTTACTAGTTCGACGAGAGTGACCGAAAAGTTGTAAATTTTGGAAATTTCCATGGACAACACCTGGTCTTAAAACGAATTAGTTAGAAAACAAAAGACGGACAATCTATTAAGTTTAACATATTTAGACTTTTACAGCTATGGTGAGAAACGTTTAAAATTTACAAGAACCCTGTCGCGTCTTTTGAGGTATATTAGTGATGCGACAAAAGAAACATTTGACATTGCCAAATCCCGAGGGTATCGGCACCCTCGGGATTTGGCAGCCCGCGTGCATGTACAGTACACACCGCACACCTAGCAGGACCGTCTCTGATTCCA